TACCTAAACGAACTCCATGGATGAGAAACGGGGTTCTCCCCCTCCACCCATCGTCGGCCGTGGACTCACCAACGTTTAGCAAGAGGATTTCTGCCACGATACTAGGCGCACGGTGCGCAAAGCATTTCTTTGCAACAAAATTTCGTGTTTTGACCCTTTTGTCAAACAAAATCGAGATCTGACCCCTGTTTGAAAGAATTTCAACATCTGACCCTTTTTCCTACCGCCAAAGGGCTCGACGGTAGCAAACTAGTCCACGTCAGCACGCAAACTGCCGTCATCCCCCTCCATCGCACCCTTCCATCGTAGGTCCTGGCGGTAGGTTGTCTGATCCTACCGCCAGCGCGAATAGTTATTTGGTGCGGCCGCCCGCCCCACCCCCTTCTCCCCCACGCCCCCAACCCCCAAGAACAGAGAGGAACTACCTCTCTCGCCCCTCTCTCATCTCCTCCATCTCCCCCTCCGATCTTTTTTGTTTCTTCATCATTTTTGCGGATCGAGATGGCCTCGAAGAGAGAAAAGTAAGCTCCTCTGATCCCTCCAATTGGTTTGAGTCAAATAGCTTCCGATTCGTCGCATTATTCGATTCAAATCACTCCCTTTTTGAACTACATTGAATTTTTTGAACCCTAGGATTGATTTAGGTTGATTCTAGATGTTATGTGTTAGATATGAACTCTAGTCACTAGTTGGTATGGTTGTGTGAAGATGAAGCCTAGTTCATATTTGATTTGAAGGTTTTTTTATATGATGCATGTTGGAGGCATTCGTTGTGATATGATGATGCATGTTCATATGCTATGATGCAAGTAGTGGATGTAGTTGGAGAAAAAACGTTGAACCCTCAAGATGAACCTAGTTCACACTTTTTTGTTATCAACAAATTTATTATATGATGAATATCGGAGATATTTGTTGCATGTAGTGGATGTTATATGATGCAAGTAGTGGATTTTGTCGGGGTAAAAATGGTGAACCCCTCAAGATGAACCCAGTTCATGTTTTTTATTTTCGAAAAAAATATGACATGATGCATGTTGGATGTTGTTGGAGAAATATGATGTGATATGATGCATTTGAACCTTTATGAACCTTTGTGATGCATCTATATGTTTCCTAGTTCATGATGAACCCTAGTTCATGTTTAAAATTCTTTTGATATGCTTATGCTTATGTTTATGCAATTTTTTAGGAGGCCACCTCTTGCGGACGACATCGACATTAAGTACACCATGCTTGACACTAAGTTCGACAAGGGTCACCGTGCCCGTTTCATTGAGAATGGAGTGGTAATTACCATTCTTAAACCAAATCTTTCGAATTGATGAAAACAAGTTGCTAACTATTATGTCCATGTTAATTATGCTTTGGTTATTGATTTTCACAGATGTTGCTGCCACTGCGGACGAGGGCTCACAAGACGACGGTTAAGATGGAGTACGACGAGCGGTACACACCGTTCTTCCGGAGAGCCCGACTATTGGGTTTCATCCTGCAGTTCAAGCGTAAGCCGATGACGCTCGTCCACTCAGCTCTCACGGCTGTGATCACCCGGTGGCGGCCAGAGACGCATAGCTTCCATATTCCATGTGGGAGATGACCATGACCCTCCAGGATTGGGGGATGATTATGGCCCTACCGCTCAAGGGTCGTGCTCTCACAGGACGAGTGGAGAGGACGAACTGACACGATAGGGTTGTCACCCTCATCGGCGACTGCCCCCTCCCTCCGGTAAGAACAACCGGACTTCCTACATACCGCTGTCATGGCTCCTCGAGCACCGGAGCAAGTGCCCTGAAGATGCCGAACCCCGGGTGCTGGAGAAGTACGCCAGGGCCTACCTGTGGTATCTTCTCACGGAGGTAGTGTTTCCAGACTGCTCCGAGAACTCTGCCCTATGGATGTATCTTGACTTCCTAAAGGACTGGGATGCGGGGTACAGCTGGGGGACCGTCGGGCTCGCCTACCTATACCGTTCGGTAAGTGAGTGTCACTTTGTTTCAATATCATGGATGTGTGCTACTTTAGATTATGACATCTTGTCATCTATACTTATTTTGAAGCTTGACGACGTGACCTAGAGGGCGGAAGTCATGTCCGGTATGTGTGGATGTGTATGGAGCATCTCTATTTGGATGTGGGAGCGAATCCCGGTGGGCCGTCCGGAGAAGTTGCGCTCGTGTGCATGGGCAGACTATGGCGAAGATGACGAAGATGATCGGTACCCGACCATCGCATACGCTTGGGACGTGGTGCATGTCTACATAGGCGAATCCAAGGCCTTGTACAAGGTCTTCAGCAACGAGCTTGATGCTCTCACGACTTTCCAGGTATAAGAACTAGACTTTAAATAGTTTCGATGACACTTTCACTTGAGCCTACCATTGTTTGGTACTAGGTTACTTGGCGGCCGTATGATGATGGTCGAGAGTGGGGGTTTGAGCTGAACAACATGTGCAAGCAGGACCGACTTCTCTGGCGGTGCATCATGCCCATGATTTGTGTCTATGCCATGGAGTACCACTTGCCACAGCGCGTTGCCGCGTAATTTGGTAAGGCGCAACACACACCACCAACCGGCATTGTCCGCGATACCGGTGGCTACGACCTACACCAGTGAGTACAACCAAGCGTTCTCATCGATACCAAGTTCTTGTTTTGATGTTTTACATTCATTCTTAGGGTGTTCTACATTCTTTCCTATGCATTGCAGGGCGAGCAGGAAGAACAATTAGTCAATCATAGATTGGGAAGACCGACATGCGAGATACGCGAAGGAATGGAATGAGTGGAAAACTCACAAAGATACGGAGAGGAAAGTGATTGACTGGGACGAGTACGAGGATCATATGCTGTGGTACGACGATGGCATCAAGCATCGTCTGCGTCTGAGGCCCCAGTGGACGACATTATATGCCGAAGACTTGTTCGATGACACCTCCGAGAATGAAGCCTACAACGAGAGCATCAGAGAGCTTCAAGGCAGGTTTAGGGAGTACGGACCCCTCATTAATAGAGTGGTAAGTTGTTTTTATCTGTTTTCAACCGATGGTTGGATGGCATCAGCTTTAGTGATACTGACTCATTTTATTACTTTGCAGTCTTCGGAGCTGAACAAAAGCATTTTTCAAGCCTCTGATGCGCTTAGTACTATCCCCGGGACTCGAGCTAGTGAGAACAAGTTGAGGGAAACGATGAAGGTAACATGGAGTTCATTTTCTTAAGTTCATTTGCAAAAGTTCTAATTGCAGAAGTTCTCATTGCAGAAGTATGTCAACAAAGCTCGCAGGCTTGTGGGCCTGCTTGGGTGCGCTACAAACACCGAGGATGTTTTTGCTCCTGCAGCACCGATGCTAGCCTCGCTTCATCGAGCCATGCAGCCTCGTCGTCTAGGGTGGTTCAAGAGGACGAGGACAACGTCGAAGAAGGTGAAGATGAAGAAGAGGGCGAGGAGGGAGCAGAAGAAGAAGAACATGGAGAAGAGGACGATGAGTAGGAAGAGGACAATGAGGAGGAGGAGTACGATGATGACGACGGACCTCCAGCAACTTAGACAACCCAGCGTGAGAAGAGGAATGTGCCGATGAAGGATTGGAAAAGTCCATCCCCGTTTCAGAAAGCGCATCCTACTCACCGCAAGAAGAAGGCGACCGAGAAACAATCAAAGACCAACAAGGACCGTACATCGAAGAGGGGAAGGAAGGAGTGAAGTTGTTGCCGTGCCGTTGAACTAGAAACATTTTATGTTTGCTTCGTGAACCATTTGCTCGTGAAACTATTTCGTATGTGTTGAACTTGCTATGTAAAACTTCGTGAAAGATTTGTGGATGTGTGCTTGCTATGTAAACCATCTTTCTTAGTTGAACTATTTTACCGTGAGCTATTCTTCATATATGTGATACATATGCTTATTGTTTCAAATGTATTGAAATTGTTATGTGCAAAAAATTGAAGACAATGTAAGTTTGGTGCAAAAAATGCACTAGGGGCCTCCCTACCGCCAGGCTTCATGGCGGTAGGTCTATACACCCTACCACCATACCCTCCGGCTGTAAGGTGCCTCCCCCCGCACGCCTGCCTCTTGTGACCAAAATTGCAGCCCAATCAGCGGTAGGGTTCCACATCCTACCGCCAGGCATCATGGCGGTAGGCCCCTACCGCCAAAGCCTCTGGCGGTAGGATGTGGAACCCTACCGCTGATTCTTACGCATTTCTCGTCACAGAACGGGTCCCAGGAGACGTGACCCTACCGCCAAACCCTCTGGCGGTAAGATGTGTTACCCTACCGCCTCGGGCCCTAGCGGTAGGGTTTGGGGCATTTATAAGCCGCGCCACCTGCCCCACCCCCTTACCCCCACTCAGCCGCCCTTTCTTCTCCCTCTCGCCCCCTCTCTCATCTCCTCCACTCCCCCTCGGATCTTCTTCATTTCTTCACCGTTTTTGCGGATTGAGATGGCCCTGAAACGAGAAACGTAAGCTCCTCTGACCCCCCAATTATTTTGAGTCAAATCACTCCCCTTTTTTGTAGCCTAAGACTGATTTATGTTCATGTTCATGTTAAAAATCATGATGAACCTAGGTGATTGCATCTAGATAATACAAGTTAGGTGACGATCCTTGGTGATGAATCATGATGAACCCTAATTGATTTTTTTACCACATGATGAACCCTAATTCATATTTCCTAGGTTTATTTTTTAAGGTGATGAACCCTATTTGATATTTCTAGATAATAAAAGTTAGGTTTATAATTTTTGACCACTTGATGAATCCTAGGTTTAGATTTTTTTGAAGGTGATGAACCCTATTTGATATTTCTAGATAATAAAGGTTAGGTTTATAATTTTTGACCACATGATGAATCCTAGGTTTAGATTTTTTGAAGGTGATGAACCTTTGTGTGATGAATCTATATGTTTAGGTACGGAAGCATGGAGCAAGCACCGCTGACTCCATCACCGCCCACTCCTCCCACTCCTCTCCAGCACATTCCATCAGAGATGCCGCTCTCGTACATGTACGAGACCTTCCCCAAGCTGCTGCAGCCGGTGGGATCTGTCTCAGACGAGGTCCTAGAGGCGACGAGGGCAAACCGGTGGCACGAGAGGGCAGAGCGGATCCTCGACGATGTCATGGCTTGGTCGCAGAGCGTGAAGGAGTGGAAGAAAGTGAAGACTGAGATGGAGGCAGATGCAAGTATCTGCCGTGTCCGCCGGGAAGCGTGCATTGAAGTTGCCCAGAAGCACGCCAACTATCTCCTGCGTAATTTGGGCCGGAGAATCTACTTCGAGAGCAATGCGAAGGAGAGAGCCAGGATGCCGCCCCAAGTGCATCGACGTTCGATATCATCAACTAGGGAAGGGCGGAGGCGAAAACTCCAGCGGGCAGGGCAAGGTGGGAGTGCTTGAACGATCGGATGCCGACCAGCGTTCCACCTCCGCCTGAACCGGTGGATCCGTTGCCGCTTCTGTCTCCACGGCCAGGGCTAACATACGAGGAGCTCTGAAGATGATGATGTCTGCCCGCTCTTCAAACTTGTTTGAAAATCGTCATATTAGTTTATCTTGTGCCTTTCAATTATGTTCTCGATGAATAATGAAACTATGTGCCTCTTGTAATGCCGTGTGCCTTTCAATTATGCTCTCAATGAACATGAAACTATCTGCTGTTAAATTCAATTTTTTCATTAGTTTGTTGTCAAATTCAGTTTGAACATTAAGTTAACTTCATGCCAATTGTTCCTGTCAATATGACTATATGAGTATACTTTCATGGTAAAAAAATGAATATATACTTTCATGTCAAAAAAGAATACAATTTCTTCAACAACAAAATACAAGTTGTGCAAAAAATACACTATGATGAGACCCTACCGCCGGGGAGTGTGGCGGTAGGTTTTCCCAGCCTACCGGCGGGTTCTAAGGCGGTAGGGTGCCTCGCCCCACGGCCATGGGTTCTGTGACCAGAAGTGGCAGTTAATGAGCGATAGGGTTGCACACCCTATCACCAGGGTCACCGGCGGTAGAACTGCATTCCCTACCGTCGTTGGTTCTGGCGGTAGCATGTCTGCCAGGTCAGCGCCTAACCGTTTGTGTGACGGCAACTACTGTTTCCCTACCGCCGAATGTTCTGGCAGTAGGCTATGCAAGCCTACCGCCGTAGAGCACGGCGGTAGCAAAAGAGTCAAATGTCGAATTTTTTAAACAAGGGTCAGATCCCGAATTTATATGTTAAAAGGGTCAAAACACGAAATTTTGCCTCTCTTTGCTTCTCTTCCCCGTAGGTGGCAGTCCCTGG